AAAGGACAGTGTGATTGAGTATTTATAGTGAATTAAAGACTTGCCTCAAATCTGGTGATGCCTGGATCACTGCCAACAAATTCTCACCACATTCTAGCACAGAAACCCTAGCGTACATCACATCTCATTTCCCTCCCTTGGACTGTCTGCTGATATTTCCTGGAACTTATTATTTACTGTCTACAGCCTCCAGTCAAATGTCAAGGTCAGAAGTTCTTTTGAAGGACCATACATTAGACCAAACCCTTTAATTTTATAATAAACTGAGTTTCCAAAACAAATTGCTATTTATGGTAAACTAACTTTGAAAAAATAAGAAATCATTTTCCATCTCCTGGAGTGATTAGCAAAACATCACAAAAAAGGAAATGCACATATAAGTGTGGCAAAATTTTATTTCAGACTTTCAGACTTAGAGTCTAGGTGTGGTATCACATGCCTCTAGTCCCAGTACCCAGGAGACAGAGGGAGGGAGGGAGGTGAAACTCTGTGAGTTTGAGACCAGTTTGATCTAAAGAACAAGTTTCAGGACAGCCGCACAGAGAGACCCTGTCTCAAAATGGTATCTAATGGTTGAACTTTTGTTGTTGCTGTTTTATTTTTCAAGACAGGGTTTCTCTGTGTAGCCCTGGCTGTTCTGGAACTCACTCTGTAACCACGTTAGCATAGAACTCAGAGATTCACTTCCCTCTGCCTCCCGAGTGCTGGGATCAAAGGTGTGCACCAACACACCCAGCTTCTAATGGTTAAACTTTTTTTCTCTCATGGAATACCCTGCTCTTCTGTAGGAGTATCTAAGACATTCTAGTAAGTACACAGATAAAACTGTAACCTGGGAAAACCAGGGAGGATGATCATAGAGGTCTATTTGAGTAGAGGCATTGTTAACTCTTTGCGGTAATTTGCATAAGAATGGCCCCATAGGCTCATATATTTTAATGCTTAGTTACCAGGGAGTGAAACTGTTTGAGAAGGATTAGAAGAATTAGTAGGTGTGGCCTTGTTGGAGGAAGTGTGTCACTTGTGGGGTGGGCTTTGAGGTTTGAACAGCCCACACCAAGTTGGATGCCTGTGGATCAGGATGTGAAGCTCTCAATTACTTCCCCAACCATGCCTGCCTGCATGCTGCCATGCTCCCTGCCATGATGATAATGGATTAAGCCTCTGAAACTGTACACAAGGCCCCAAGTAAGTGCTTTCTTTTATAAGAGTTGCTTTGGTTGTAGTGTTTCATCACCACAATAGTAACCCTAACTAAGATACTCTCGAATTCAGTGCACACACAAACAAACAAAAAAACCATTCAAGGATATTGTGAAGTGATGGGACTTGAACTAGGGGGCATGATTAACTGAATCCTTTTCATGTTGGTTCAGCCCCTTCCTTGCCCTCTTGACCTTGACACTACTCTGAGGCTATTTCTAGATGATTGTGGGAGAGTCTGTGTGTGTGTGGTAGGTGTGCCCGTGTTGCACCAGGAGGCCTGAGGCTGTTGGGCATCTTGTTCTACCACTACCCACCTTATTCCTTTGAGACACAGTCTCACGCTGAATGTAGAGCTAGGCTGGCCGGTCAGCACACCCTAGTGATGGTCTTCCTGTGTATTTTTGGTGCACGTGCAACCACAGCCAGATATTTATGAGTTCTTAGGATTTGAATTCAGGCCCTCGGGCTTGAGTGGCAAGCTTTCTTACCTGCCAAGCCATCTCCCAGGCCCATTATTGGGTCTTTATTTGCTGATTTAGCTTATATATATTTAGCTTTTTACCCACTCACTTCTGTCTGGATCTGTGGTCATTGTTATGCAAAGTGTAGGAGAATCCCAAAGCTCTGCTGACTGTCTTTTGCTTTTTTTTTTTTTGGTTTTCCGAAACAGGGTTTCTCTGTGTAGCTTTGCGCCTCTCCTGGAACTCACTTGGTAGCCCAGGCTGGCCTTGAACTCACAGAGATCCGCCTGGCTCTGCCTCCCGAGTGCTGGGATTAAAGGCGTGCGCCACCACCGCCCGGCACGCCTTTTGCTTTTTGACAGGACACATTTCATCCTTGAGAAATACTGGGTTACAAACTCAACTCCATAGGAAGAATAGACTAATAAAGAGCCCTAGAACAGCCAGCTCTCCATCCCCTAAAACAATGGAATTTTGATGGCGCATGCCTTTAATCCCAGCACTTGGGAGGCAGAGCCAGGCAGATCTCTGGGCTACAGAGTGAGTTCCAGGACAGGCACCAAAACAACACAGAGAAACCCTGTCTTGAAAAACCAAAAAAAAAACTGTTAAATTGTAGAATTCTCAGAGACCTCAGGGTAGGCCAAACAGTCTTAGATATATCACCCCAGCATAATCCATAAAGAAAAAAATCATGAGTTGGACCTAATCAAAATCTGGCTGGGAACGGCTGGAGATGTAGCTCAGCTTGTAGAGTGTCTGTCTAGCATACAAGAGGCCCTATGTTTTGTCTCTAGCACCAAATAAAACCAGCCATGATTAAGGCATGTCTGTAATCCTGGAACTTGAGAGGTGGAGGTGGAGAGATCAGGAGTTTGAGGCTAGCCTGGGCTACATGAGGCTAGATGTGGAGGTGCACATGTGTAATGTCAACATTCTGCAGGCTAATGCAAGAGGATTGCCAGTTGGAGGCCAGCCTTGGCTACATAGCAAGACGCTGAATTGCCAAATTTGGCCAGAGGGTGAAAAGAGGCTATGTACTGAAGAATGGTATTTGCAAATCACATATCCAACAAAGGATTGGTCTCCAGAATATATAAGTGACTTTGAAAATTCAAAACCAAGGAATAATCTTCAAAAACAGTGGAAAGATTTAAACAGACACTTCTCTCTCTGAATGTGGTAAAAATAAATTAAAAATAAATACTGATGCTCAGTATCAGGGGTCATTAGGGAAATTCAAGTGAAACCCGCAATGTAATGTATGTACAGCGGTTGAAATAACAGCCGGAATAAAAAGTGCTGGCAAGCCCACAGCAACTCTTACCTTGCCAGGGGGGATGAAAAACGGCAATGTTTCCACTCAGGAGACAGCTCGGTGGTCTCTTAGAAAGCTAAGCAACAGCTACCAAATGATTTAGCCATGGCACTCCTGGGCATTTACCCTCACATTCACACAAAAACCTGTACCCAAGTGTTTACAGAAGCACTGTTCACAACCGCAGGACACTGGAAACAGCTCTAAATCCTTAAATAAGCAAGACAATGCTCTCTCCCAGGGGAACTCTCCAACAACCAAAGGAATGATGTTTTCCCCACTGCTACATGCTTGTACTGTTCATGAGAATCTGGCAGGAAAGCTGCAAACTTAGAGTGTTGGTCCAATGTGGATGACCTTGAGTTCCACTCTCCTACCATGAGATTTTCCTTGGGGACGTTTATATTTTCATTTTAATTTAAAGTGTGTGTGTGTGTGTGTGTGTGTGTGTGTGTGTGTGTGTGTGTGTGTGAATGCAGGTGCATGCACACATGTACACTCATGTAGAGGTCAGAGGAGGACTATCCTCCATCACTCTGCCCGATCGCCTTGAGACAGGGTCCCTCAATGAACCAGAAGCCCGGCATTCCAAATAGGCTGGCTAGCAAGAGAACACCACTGTCCACCTGTCTCTGCCTTCAACTCTGGGATTGCAGACACATCTAGCCAGATGTGTGGGTGCTGAGAATGTGAACCCATATCCTCACCCTTGCCCAGAAGGCACTCTCACCCACAGAACCATCTTTCCAGCACCCTTGGGAATATGCAAACCTGCTGTCTGAGGGCTTTAATGTGTGGTCAAAGACTGATGGAGAGGGTTAAATGCCAGCACCACTGTATCTGTCCCCTTGGTCCCTCGTCAGGCCCTCCCATCCGTTCCTCCCATAGTTCATGGTGGTGTGTCCACTTACCCTGTAGTTCCCAGAACACTTGGAGTTCTTTCCAGCCACAGAGCCTGCTGGGGTGCTCTTCCACATGCCCTCCTTTTGACTGACTCCTGCTCGTCCTTCCCACGCAGCGCCTTCTCCTCAGGTCTGTCCCTTTCTCTGCACTTACCCCAGCTATTTTATCTGCTATGTCTTAACACCTGTTTGCTCACTGGGGTGAAGTCTCCGTGGGGATGGAGACCAGGTCCTTCTGGTTCATCAGTGTTTTCCCAGCACATCACAGGCTGGGCCTTTCGTAAGAACTCAACAACTGAACAGATGATTGGATTGAGTGTGAAGTTTGCCCACTCCAGGATGGTCTCTTTCTACCAGGGAATCCAGACAATGGAAACACTCCCTTATTTTAAAGACAAGCACGGGGTATGCATCCTAGAGCAAAGAGTCTTCCTTAAATGACATTTCTGTATAGTCCCATCTACTCTGATAGCCAAGAAAGGTAACAGGGTTCCTTTTGGGGAGGGATGGGAAAAAAAACTGAAGAGAAATGATCATCTACTTGGATCCATTTGTTCAGCCAGAATCATGACTCTTGAAGCAGGCTGTATGTGTGTGATGGTTATCTCAGTTGTCAACTTATTGCAAGTTAGACTCACATTGGAAACGGGCCTATGGGCACACCTGTGGGGATTATCTTGACTGTGGTAATGGAGGTAGGAAGACCTGTTCTCTGTGGGTGGCACCATTCCCTAGGCTAAGAAGATCTTGGACTGTACAGACAAGATGAGCTGCATAAGTATTCCTCGCTCTCTGCTTCCTGATTGTGGAAGCGATGTGACCTCAAGTGTGAGCTTCAAGCACCTGCTTCCTTGCTGTGATGGGCAGAACTCTTGAGCTGTGAACCAAAACAAGTCCGTTCTCTCTTGAGTTGCGTTTGTCAGGGTATTTCATCACAGCAACAAGAAACTGAGACCACGTTCAAGAAATAGTTATTTTCTCCTTAAAATTTGAAATCCAGAACAGTAATGGGTGGTATATAACATAACATACCATATTTCCAGGGAAGATGCAGTTCTTAACCAACTTATGTCTTTGGCATTGATTTTTTTTTTAATGACTTTTACTCTTCAGTTCACAGGTCCTGGTTGTTATCCAGGTGGATACACATGGCTCTTCTACGAAAAAGTAAGAATTGAACTTGTGAAAAGAACTTGAAAGAAAGATGTTTCAGAGGAGTGTTCTGATGATGATGCTCTCTCTCTCTGTGTGTGTGTGTGTGTGTGTGTGTGTGTGTGTGTGTGTGTGTGTGATTTTCATAGATCATTTTCCCACAAGCAATTTTGGCATGGGAATTTGAGGATTCCTGTGGGATGCTGTTGAGATTTTGGTTAGAAATGGACTTATCATTAATCATATATTATCATGAATCATATATATATATATATATATATAGGTTTTTTGAGACAGAGTTTCTCTTTGTAGATCCAACTGTCCTGGAACTAGCTCTGTAGACCGGGCTGGCCTCCAGCTTACAGTGCTCGGATCAAAGGCATGGGCCACCACCGCCTGGCCTGGATCATATCTTTTAAAATAAAACCTGCTCTTACAATCATTTCCTCACTCTAAATAAGTATTCCTCATTCATGCCTATGCATTTTTGAAGTTCTGCTCTTGTTCTTTTTTTTCTTTTTTTTTTTTTTTTTTTCGAGACAGGGTTTCTCTGTGTAGCTTTGCGCCTTTCCTGGCGCTCACTTGGTAGTCCAGGCTGGCCTCGAACTCACAGAGATCCTCCTGGCTCTGCCTCCCGAGTGCTGGGATTAAAGGCGTGCGCCACCACCGCCCGGCCTGTTCTTGTTCTTAAAGGGTCACATCAAATCTCCAGACCTTGCAAACACCTATATTTTTCTGATTTAAATAGAACGTTATTAATTTGAGGAAAAACACAGTAACCTAATATTGTTTCTATTACTCTTAGAGTCGCCTAATTTAAATGAAAATGAAAGGCATCCAATTAAATGTGAACTTCACATAAATGAGGAATTATTTTTAGTGTATGTTCCAAATATTGCATGGGACATACTTAACCTAAAAATTCTGTTTTCCTGGCAACTTTTTGTCGGTGGTAACAGCCATGGGAAGGTCAGGTGTTGTGTCACCTCTCTAAACACAGTGGCAGGTGAGTAGTCATCAGATCTCCTGAGACCTACAGAACCTTTTACTTCTTCCTGCCCTGTAGCTATCCATGGCTGAATCTTCCCAAAAAGGGCAGGAAGGAGAGCAGGAACCTTAGCGAGACCGAGACATCAGGAAGTGCAGGGTGTAGTTGGGGGAGGGGGGGAATCTAAGACTCTCTAGGTCATTTCTTTTACAAATATGAACACAAAAGCCAGAAGGTCAAAAAACAAGCTAGCATGAAGCCAATGATTACCTTCAGAGAAATATTTTAGATTTGTATTATTTTTATTTGTATCAGAGAACACCCCCCCACCCCAGGCTCGGGGAAGTTAAGTTTGCGCAGCTGGGGGGAGGGGGAGGGTAAGATCTGACTGGAGGTTTGGATCTGACTTCATGTCCCAGCGCCTTCCCTTCCCCACGACAGAGTTCCAGGGTAGCTCGGGCAGGCTTGGACTCCCTGTGACTTCCTGCCCCTGCCTGGTGAGCGCAGGGCCATGGGCCTGGGTCACGGGTCACGGGCCTGGGCCACGGGCCTGGGCCACGGGCCTGGGTCACGCACCACACTCCACGCTGTGCCTGTCCTGTGGCCAAGTACCATCTCTGAAGTTTTTGTCGTCTGTGTTCCTTCTGTCTTCCACGTTTCTTTAAATTCATTCCTGTTTAATATTGGGAGGCACATTTCATAACAGGAAGTTTCTATCCTTTCTGTAAATGGGGAAGTATCTATCTCCCACCACAAAAAGAAGATGGTTTGTAAAATAGATTCAATTAGAAGAATGTTCAGTTTTGAAGACCTTGTGTTGCTTGGCTGCAGCGTTGAAATCAGAGACTGGCTTTTCCACACATGATTTGATATTGCTTAACTCTGTGAACACAAATGCCCCCAGTCATTTTGCCAACAACCAGCAATGTGTGTTCCGTACTCAAAAAATGCTGCCCTGCCCCGTCCTGTTTCATCACTAATGTGGAACAGGTGGAGACTGAGAACTGGAAGCATTGAGGTCCTGGCCCGGAGCCAGGCTTTTCTGCACGTCATCCTCCACTGGCATCTGAATCAACTGAAACGCAACTAACGTCTACAACTTTAAGCCTGTTCAGAATTAGCAGTAGCTCGTAAGAGGCATCCTAGAAATGAAGCTGTTTATACTACGGATCAAATATTCATGCAAGGCAGCCTCCTGTGATGATTGGTTTTGAGGCCTCCGCCATCAGACTGCCTGGGTCTGGGTCTTCCTAGTGCTTTGAGGAAGTGGCCACAGTACACCAGATCAATGCAGTACTCCACATGCTGTTTGTGCTCAGCCCCAGACTGCCATGTCCTCTGTATGTCTGCCCACGCTGCCGTTCAGGATGTTTTTTTTAGTGGTTTGAGGTTGACTGGTCAGACTTTGATGTGTTTCCTCTTCATTTCAGTTAATCAGGTGCTGCTCTTCCTTCTGGCCCTGACCCTTTGTGGGATTCTGTACAAGAAAGTTCATAAGGGAGCTGTCCTCAAGAACGAAGCAGGTGAGTACCTATGGGGTCTGTCAACAAGACACCCCAGAAGGTGGTTTCGATGTTTTCCACGGGGTCCTTTCAGTGGTTGGGCTGGGGGCAAATGACAACGTGGTGAAGGGGGCAGCCTGTAAAACATCTTCCCCAGGACAGCAGCTGGGTTATGCTCTGGGATGATCAGTGCCATTCAAAATGTAGCCTATGTCACATGGAGGGCTTGTTAGAAGACACAGACATACACAGAGACATAGGCACACAGACACAGACACAGACACACACACACACACACACACACACACGCACGCACGCACGCACGCACGCACGCACGCACACATGCACACGTGTGCTCCTGGTGTTGAGGAAATCAGGAGGAGTCTGGTATTGCCGAAAAACCACCAGTGATGAGCTGCACAGCCAAGCCTGCATCAGTTAGATCTCCTCACACAGCTGCCCGGTGACAGTGTACCCCTCAGTGAACAGTCCGTAAACAAGTCTGCTCTGGTTTGCTTTTTCAAACTGGATGCAGTTATCTAACCACCTGGGAAGACGTCATCCTTGTGCGTAGGTTTGAGACTGGCACGGACTATGTGAGATGCTACCTCCAAAACATTATTTCATTTGTTTATTTAAAAAAATAATAATTCCTTTAATCCCAGCATTCGGGAGGCAGAGGCAGGTGGATCTCTGTAAGTTCGAGGCCAGCCTGGTCTAGAAAAGTGAGTCCCAGGACAGCCAGGGCTACACAGAGAAACCCTGTCTCAAAAAAAAAAAAAAAAAAAATCATGATTACTTAGAGAATTTGAAAAAAAAAATGTAAGAAATACAAGGAAGCAAAATTAAAGTCACTTACAATTTCATAAGTAGCCACAGATAAATTTGTAGAAGTGTATGTATCACATTGGGATCAAAGACCAGAAAGAATTATTTCTTTATTTATGGACGGGGTTTCACTGTTCGGCCCCAACCGGCCTGGAACTCATGATACAGCCCAAGCTGGCTTCAGACCCACAGAGGTCCACCCACCTCTGCCTCCCCATGTGCCAACACACCAGCTAAGAATTTATATTCTTTTCCCCTTCAAAGTATATTATGAGATCCTCTCAAGTCAGGAAATACGTCATGAGAACGTTCTTTTTTCTAGTAGCAGAAACAGAAGTGGATAGAAAAAAATATAAAGAGATGGAGAAGCCATTTAATGTTTATTAAGTTATACAAAATACACCTGGTAATTTGTTTCAGTAAGTGTTTATTGAATTAAATATCAGCTGTAACTACCTTGGACCTAGGTGAGAAGAGGGGTTTTGTAAAACTGTCTGCAAAGAGAGAGGAAGCTTAGTAAAACTCAGCTGTACACAGACTGGTTATTTTTCACTGTGCCACCGAAATATAATGTGGTAACATCAGTGTTTCATCTCTTCTGGTGCTGAAGTATGATTGGTCATTCACGAGTGCTAGCCACGCCCCTTAGTTACTCCTTCCTCTTGCTGCTAACACTTGACTACGGAGTGGAGAGCAGCAGAGACCCACAGCAGTACAGGTCACACAAGTTCCGATGCTGGGCCCGTGAGGCTCTGCATTCTGTGTGTTTCAGCTGTATGTGTGGGAGGCCGTGGGCTGGCATATGAAAAAGAGGCCCGGAGCAATAGGGACTTAGAAGTTTACCCTGTCTTCACTTGAAAATCTGATGCGTGGATTCCACAGCCTTTCAGATCAAAGTCCTTTGGTACCTTATGGTTCTGATGTCTTTAGGTATTTTCAGTCAAAGAAGGTCTTCACCACATCATACCAACATGGCAGGGGAGGGAGGGTGGTTGGCATGGAGCATTACTCTGGGGTGCAGACCCTACAGATGCACACATCACTTAAAACAGCTTCCCATTTGTCCAACTTGACCACATTTTGCAGGAAGGGAATTAGTTTTAGTGTTTGGCCATGTGCGAGCTGAAATTTTCACACTCGTTTCCAAGGGCTGGGGAGAGCCTGGATGTTGGAAAGCCGTCCTCCCCAGCAGATGTCTCTCCTGGGACCTTCCTTACTGATGTCGATGTTTTTTTCAGATGATGATTCCGAGTCCCCCGAGGACATGGAGGAGGAGATTCCAGTGGTGATCTGTGCGGCCGCAGGGAGGATGGGCGCGGCCATGGCCGCCATCAACAGCATCTACAGCAACACGGATGCCAACATTGTGTTCTATGTGGTTGGACTGCGGAACACTCTGACTCGAATACGGTAGTTTGTATGCTGTGGTTTTGCAATGTTCTATGTTCTTTTATCTTTTTTCTCTTTAGATGGGCCCTTACCACCTTCACCACCACCTCTTCCTCCTCTTCCTCCTTTCCTTCTTCCTCTTCCTCCTTCTCATCCTCCTCCTCTTCCTCCTCCTCCTCCTTCCTCTTCTTCTAGATTGACAGCTGTCATTAGAATTATTGAGAGGAAGTCCTGGGTTTACTGTGCTGGACTAATGTGTTTCTAGATGAGCAAATGTCATCAAAACCTCATTAGTCAAGCAGGACGACAGGGATTTCTGTAGATGTGAACTGTCTAGGGAACTAAAGAGCCCCAGTCCTGGAGCAGCTTACCGGAAAATCTTTCAATATTTGTTCTTTTAGCTAGGTTGATGAAGACCTGTGATCCTAGCTACTCAGGAGGTGGAGCCTGGAGGAGCACTCTGGGCTATAGAGGGAAGGCCAGCTTAGGCAACTTTATGAGATCCAAATTCAAAATAAAAAGTAAAAACAGAGTAGGGGTGTAGCTGAGTGTTAGAGTGCGTATGTGAGTACCTGGGTTCAATTCCCAGCAGAGGACGGAAAAAAATGTTTTTTTTATTTCCCCTCTGTTTTCCTAACCAAGGAGAATATTTGCATAATCCTTACTAACTATATTTTTGGGGGAAAGGGGCTGGAGATTCAATCCATGTCTCACACAGATTAAACACAGGCTCGACCACCGAATCTCACCTGACCTGTAATGTTTGAACAGCAAACTTGCAGTAATATAACTTTATAGGTCATATTGTAACTCTGAACTTATTTTCCCTATGACATGCCATACCAAAAAAAATGAACTGGAGGTAGAGTAAGAAGAAATCAACAGAAAATCAAAATTCAAATGTGCTTTAGAAATGCAGGATAACTGTGTAATCTGGGACAGTAGCTCCCTGACCCAGGAATTAGAAGAAAAAGCTGACAGACTTCCCTGTATAACACAAGAACTTCTGAATAATGAAGAACAGTGAGTGAGATTAGTTATAAAATCCATTAGTAAAAAGTATGGCTTATAATGAAGAATTGTTGAAAAAAACTTTTAAATGTTAAACTTAGTGGGAAAATGAACATAAACTATGAACAGACACCAAGGCCCCGAATTCCATCCCCAGCTCTATGAACAACACAACCACCAACGGCCAACACTGTGCTTGGTACTCAGAGGCTGAGGAAGGAGGGTTGTGGATTAGAGACCAGACTGGGCTGCACGGGGAGGCATTCTCCCAACTAACCAAACTAGCCAAATAACCAACCAACCAACCAACCAACCAAAGAAGAATAGATCACACATTCACAGAGTTATAGATGGTCAACAGAGTGGGCTATCTCCCAGTTCCTGGCTGTGGGTCCCCCCGCAATGTTTAACTATTTTACAACCAGTCCTTATTGAAGGAGAACACAAGAGTAGAGAGAGGTATGGACCCACTGTACCTCTCAGTCAGTCACCACAAGCAAATACACTTCCGGAACAACTGCCACGTTCCCAGCACCAGTGGCCAGAGTTCTGCCGCCGAACACCGACCCCCAGCCCTCTTCTGCCAATTTGCCATCAACAGCAAAGGCTGCCGTAGGTGGCTTGGGTCATCGCCAACTCTGTTTTGAGATGATTTCTACCACTCTATGCTCATAACGAATCAGATGAAAGATAGACACCCTGTGGGACTGAGTGACAAAGGAGAGAGGGTGGGGGACAGAAGAAGGGTGAGGCAGCGGAGGGGACTGAGCGACATCGTCCTTTGGAGTCAGAGGAGGGAACAAGACTACAGTCACAGGCTGGGCTGCCCGTGTCTCAGCAGGGGCATGTGGCAGCTTGATAAGGAAGGAACACGTCGTGTTCCTCTAGTTTCCCAGGAGGATTTTTGGACGTGGGAATATACTTGGTTCTTACTGTCTTGTTAATTTCCTTTGCAGGAAGAGTTAGATTGGTGGTGGGGAAAGGGGGGATGGGAAGTTAGACCAGATGGGGAAGGAATCAGAAGGACTTATAGCATGAAAACTGTTGACAGACACTTAACTTTCTAAGGCCAGAACAGACTAGCCCTGGGATGGCATGCGAGCTAACTGGAGGAAAGATCTGAAGTGTGTACTAGAGGTTTCTGGTCATCTCTTTAGAAAGTGGATCGAACATTCTAAACTGAGAGAAATAAACTTCAGAGTTGTGGAGTTCAACCCTGTAGTCCTCAAGGGGAAGATCAGACCAGACTCATCGAGGCCTGAGCTGCTCCAGCCTGTGAGTAAGAGTCATACCCACGGTGGGGACAGTCCTGAGTTCACGGACACTGTAGATCCCCAGCCACCTGTCTTTGTTGTTGTTGTTGTTGTTGTTGTTCGAGACAGGGCTTCTCTGTCTAACAGCCCTGGCTGTCCTGGATCTCGCTCTGTAGACCAGGCTGGCCTCGAACTCACAGAGATCCTCCTGCCTCTGCCTCCCGAGTGCTGGGATTAAAGGTGTGCGCCACCATGCCTGGCCTCACCATCTGTCTTAGTTAGGGTTTCTACTGCTGTGGCAAAACGCCAGGACCAAAAAGCAAGCTGGGAGTAAACTGTTTATTCCATATTACTGTCCATCACTGAAGGAGGTCAGGACAGGGACTCACGCAGGGCAGGATCCCGGAGGCAGGAGCTGATGCAGGAGCCATGGAGGGGTGCTGCTTACTGGATTACTCCCCATGGCTTGCTCAGCCTGCTTTCTTATAGAACCCAGGACCACCAACCAGGGATGGCACCACTCCCCATGGGCTGGGCCCTCCCCATTGGTCACTAATTAAGAAAATACCCTACAGCTGGATCTTCTGGAGGCCTTTCCTAAACTGAGGCTCCTTCCTTTCGGATGACTCTAGCTTGTGTCAAGTTGACATAAGACTAGCCAGCACACCATCTGGTGCACACAGGATATTTCAGACTCATGAGTGCTGGATCCCCACAAAGCTCTGCTTATTTATAACTTAGCAGCCACCTGCTCCAGGAAGGATTTAAGATGGTTTATATAAGCACAATGAAGCTACTGGGAAGAAATGAGGCATAAAAATGTAGACTACATTTGTGTGTGTGAGGATGGCTATGGGTGGGGGAGGGAGGCGGGCCGGGGAGGGAGGTGGGCAAAACTATTCCCAAGCACTTCCGTTCTTGTATCTTCTGTGCTTAATTACTAGTTAGCTCGTATTCTTCCGAAAGCCAAGGAAACCCAGCAGTGTACAGCTATGAGCCTCAGTGATGGCCACATCATATTTCAGGAGACATCCGTGCTCTTGCCAGCTATGGGGGTCATTTTTCTCGCAAGAGTGTCCACAGAGTCCCTCTCCTTCATGAAGAGCGGAAGTGTGTGTGTGTGTGTGTGTGTGTGTGTGTGTGTGTTTGTGATATGCTTATGTGTCAGTGAACCCCAGCAAGCCTTTCTCCAGCCTCCCCCTAGTTCCTCACCCCTCTCCCAACCCCACCTTGCCTCCCCCAGCACTGGTGGTTCAGACAAGTATGCTACAGTCATCTTTTCATGTGGGTGCTGGGTACCTACCAAGTGGGTACCAAGCTCAGGGCCTCATGCTTACATGTTGAGCCATCTTTCCAGTCCAAAAGCAGTTTCTGATGGCAATTTGTAGAAACTGGCTTCCTCCTGTATACAGTCCACGTAAATCCATCCTTTCCAATTAAGTTCTAAAGCCTCTGCCTGTGACAGGCTCTACTGTTAGCTGATCATGATAACTGAATGGCACTAATGAAAACCCTACAGACTCATGTTTCTGTTTTCTGGATTAAGACGCTAAAAGGCTGGGCTTGTTACTGAGGCGTGGGGGGTGGGGGAGGGAGAGGGAGAAGGAGATGGAGAGAGGTGGGGACTGGATTTAGAAGAGCTTCTCTGGGCCAGCCTGGCCTCATCCTCAGAGCGCGGAGGACCGGGTGCTGAAAGCCTGGATGAGGCATCACTTTAGCCCATTTTATTCCGTTCCACACTTGGGGCTCAACGGGCCATGGTCAGAGCTGACTTGTGGGTACCAGACAACCTTGAGCCATATGCCTTTCCCCACCTGTTTCTCTTGTTTTAACAGCTGAACTTCGTTCGATTTTATCTCCCTCTGCTTATCCATCAACATGAGAAGGTCATCTATTTGGACGATGATGTCATTGTGCAAGGTACACTCACTCACCGCCCAGAACCCTTGCAAGGGCACCGCTCCCAAGGAGAGCGACATACTTTCTCCTCATTTTCCATGGAGCTGGCTGGCTTCCGACTCTTTGTGAAGTGAACACAGCATTGTTGTAAAACTGGGCCTATTTTGCAAGCAAGGTTTGATAATTCCCTGGGTCATCCGGTGGCAACCTCTCTGACTGCCAAGTCTGCTCTAATTACCTTGGTAGCATCTTCTCTGCATTCCTAAAACATGTAGAAATAATTGTCACTGAGGGCGCTTGGTAGTGGCCTTGGCTGCGTGTGTGCATGTTGTATTTGTTCTCTTCCATGTGCAAGTTAGATAAGCATTCAGAAACTACCAGCCACAGACCTGACCAACACCCATCTGCTGTTTGTAGTGGTTCCCTCAATGGGCATGAGCTGTTATTAACACCGCCACGCATGGGAAAAGCGGGACCCTGTATTCTCTGCTCTACTGAAGTTAGGCACTAAGCTAAGGTTCTTTCTAGCCCCAAGATAATTTTTTTTTTTTTTTTTTTGGTTTTTTGAGACAGGGTTTCTCTGTGTAGCTTTGCGCTTTTCCTGGAACTCAGTTGGTAGCCCAGGCTGGCCTCGAACTCACAGAGATCCGCCTGGCTCTGCCTCCCGAGTGCTGGGATTAAAGGCGCCACCACCGCCCGGCTACCTGCTGTGTTTTAATTGCTAATCCTCCTGAACGCAGGTGACATCCAGGAACTGTACGACACCACCTTGGCTCTGGGCCATGCAGCGGCCTTCTCGGATGACTGTGATTTGCCCTCCGCTCAAGACAACAACCGAATCGTGGGGCTGCAGGTGAGCATGCTCTCTTAGAAATCCTACCTTACCCTTCTTCTCTGGCCCTCTATTCCTCCTCCACAACTCAAAATTATCACAATCTCTCCATCCAAAGCCAGTGGGAACTTCCAGGGGACCGGGATGGTAGGAGGGGCTCTATTTCCACCCACTCGGGCCCATTTCTGTAACCGTTAAGTCTCACTTTCCTGATCTGAAACATGGCACGGGCACTATCTATCCTGTTGTGTTTGTGAGCTGCAATGGGGTATGGCAAGTGCCCTAAAAATGATGGCTGCTGTGTTGCGCATCACCACAGGCCATTCCTGGGTTCCTGGTACCTACACAGCAGCTCACAACTCTACGTAACTCCAGTTCCAGGGGACCCAACACCCTCTTCTGGCTTCCTTGGGCACCAGGCACACACGGTGCATAAACATGCATACAGGCAAAATACTCATGCACATAAGATAAAAATAAGACCATTTTAAAAGGGAGCAATGCATAGCACCCGTGTTGAAGGCTGCACTGAGTGCGGGGACTGGCTGGTGTCAGGAGGCATCTTCAAGCTGGACAAACAGGAGTAATAGGTTTGGATAAAGAGCAGCTAAGGATGGTCTAATGACCCTGGGCTTCTGCTTAAATAACAAGACAGACAGAAACACTATTTCCTGAGGCGGCATGTGGCAGGGAGCCAGCTTTAAGACAGGACTTGGTACATGTTGCCTGTTGGAGCTGCTTAAGCATCAAGAAAGCAACACTAGAGGCAGAGGCAGAGGCAGGTGGATCTCTGTGAGTTCCAGGCCAGCCTGGTTTATAAAGCGAGTTCCAGGATAGCCAGGGCTGTTAGACAGAGAAACCCTATCTTGGAAAAAAAATAAAAATAAAATAAAATAAAAACAAGAAAAAAATGCAACACCAACTAGGCAGATGTGGCAGCTGGAAGGCTAGAGAGACCGGAGTGTCAGACAGATGGAATTTAGAGGCCTGAAACAGGACGGGCTGCCAGTGGAGTGAGAAAAAATGACAGGTGCTGGGACTGGGAGCGGGGCACTGAGTATTCAGATGGAAAAAGAGGCACAAACAGCGATGGAGAGCAGTGAGCTAGCTCGGCGCGTAAAAACACTTGCTCTGGAAGCCGGTCCTTTGACACGTACACATGCACTGTGGCATGTGCGTGCGCGCATGCGCACGCGCACGCGCGCGCGCGCGCGCGCACACACACACACACACACACACACACACACACACACACACACACCCACGCTGGGCACGGTGGCACATGCCTGTAATCCCAGCACTGGAGAGGCAGAGGCGGGCAGGTCTCTGTTGTAAGTTTGAGGCCAGTCTGGTCTACATAGTGAGTTCCAGGACAGCCAGAGCTACATATTGAGACCCTACCTCAAACAACAAAACGCACCAAAAGCAAGCTGCTCGTGCCACGGGAGGAAGCCCAGGGATGCTGCACAACAGCTCTGAGAGAAACAGCAGAAACAGCAGACCCCCATCCCGCTCTTTTGCAGAACACATACATGGGCTATCTGGACTACCGGAAGAAGACCATTAAGGACCTTGGCATCAGCCCCAGCACCTGCTCATTCAATCCTGGTGTGATTGTCGCCAACATGACCGAGTGGAAACATCAGCGCATCACCAAGCAGCTGGAAAAATGGATGCAAAAGAACGTGGAGTATGTATGCGCGGGATTCTCTGCCAGCATTGATCCCAATGGGAAAAAAATGGCTCAGCTAATTTTTGTATAGCTCAAGAGTTAAAACAAAACAACAACAAAAATTTGAGGTCAGACGTTCATAGAACCTGTTGGCCAAGAAAAGGGGCTTGGATGAAGATCTTTCCCCAAATGATAGAAATCTGAAAAAACGATGCTGTGAGATCAGGGTTCATTCCATTTTCCTAGTAAGTTGCTTTGTAATGTGAGTTGAACCTTTTCCACTGAGGAATCTTCATTTATTTTGAGTTTCTTTTATAGTCTGCTGTCTGAGGGGGACAGGGTCTCACTCTGTAGCCCTGGCCTGCTGGCCTGAAACTTGCTGTGAAACCAGACTGGCGTCTGCCACCAATACGCTGGGATTAAAGTCGTGCGCCGACACACCCGGCCCTAGACCTACTTTTAAGTCAAATTTCATAGAACCTGCATTTTTTTAAAAATCCTTTTGATTTTTTTTTCCCCCAAGACAGGGTTTCTCGTGTGTAGCCGACCACCTTGGCTGTCCTAGAACTTGCTTTGTAGACCAGGCTGACCTCGAACTCCCAGAGATCCACCTGCCTCTGCCTCCCGAGTGCTGGGATTAAAGGCATGTGCCACTACACCTGGCTTGATTTTTCCCCCAATTTTTAAAAACAAAACTATTTTTAATTTTATGTGTGTGGTGTTCTGCTTCCTTCCTGTACGTCTATGCACCACACGCATACCTGGTATCCTTGGGGGCCAGAAGAGGGTGTTGGATCCTTGGAACTGGAGTCACAGGTGGCTGAGAGTCACCACCTGGGGGCTGGGAGTCTTGAAGATGGGTCCTTTGTATGAGCACCAGCTCTTAACTGTTGAACCATCTCTCCAGCCCCTCTCCTGTGTCTTAATGCCATCCTAACACTGAACTTGTGAGCAGTTTCAATATAGGATCAGAATTTGATCTCCTGTGCGGACCATAAAAAACCTTGAGCATTAGTGACAAGATATTAACAAGTTGCCGGGCAGTGGTGGCGCACACCTTTAATCCCAGCACTCGGGAGGCAGAGGCAGGCGGATCTTTGTGAGTTCGAGGCTAGCCTGGTCTACAGAGCGAGATCCAGGAAAGGCGCAAAGCTACAGAGAAACCCTGTCTCGAAAAACCAAAAAAAAAAAAAAAAAAAAAAGATATTAACAAGTATGAACACTGCCAGTCTAGATGACATGCAGAGGGGTGTGACCTCATGGACATGAGAGCGTGACCTCAGGGGACATACATGGGAGATTGTGACTCTGGATCATGTGCATGGGTCATGTGATTCTACATGATGTGTACGGGAGTTCCTGGTTGTCTACATTTTGAAGTTTGATAGTTTTAAAAGTAAGAAAAAAAAAATTGGGAGGTAGGTGTGACAGTACATCCTACTACCCCAGCGTGTCGGAGTGAAGGCAGCAGGCTTGACTCAGGGCTATCCTCAGCTATAGGGGGACTTAAAGGCCAATTTGATCCACAGGAGACCGTTTCTAACAACAAAACCCCTAGCTAAAAATTAAAAGTTGGGGAGAAGTGGGAAAGGAAAGCCTCACATCTTTTTTTGAACGACCATATTATCATTGACTTGGTGTCTGTGAAGGCTCCAGACCCAATGTCGGTTTTCTATCTCATTTCTTAGAGAAAACCTCTACAGCAGCTCCCTGGGAGGAGGAGTGGCTACCTCGCCGATGCTGATTGTGTTTCATGGGAAGTATTCCACCATCAACCCTCTGTGGCACATTCGGCACCTTGGTAAGTAGTGCCAGGAAGCAAGGGAGGTGCACATTTCACCCAGTGACCACCACCGCGCTGCCTATAGCCTAGGGCTTGAAACCTGTCACCCCACCTCCTTAACCCTTAGGCTCAGAATCTTCAAATGCAGCTGCTCTCTTTAGTTGCCAGACGGTACATTCTAGGATTCCTGAGCACTGGCTGCTCTTTAAGTGGACCCAGGTTCAATTCCCAGCACCTACATGGCCACTCACAACTGTCTGTAATTCCAGTTCCAAGGGATCTGACACCCTCACACAGACATGCAATGCACATGAAATAAAAATCTATTTAAAAACAATAAAGATTTATTTAAAAAAAAAAAGAAAGAAAAGAAAAGCGTACAGACTGATGCTTAGCATAGAACTTCCACTCTGCAAGGTTCTACCGAACATCGTGGACAGAACCTGCTGGTGTATAATGGCACACAATGACCTTAGATACCTGGCACTTTATTGCTATTAGGTCAACTCTCACCATTTCCATAGACAAAAATCCCACCAAAAGCAGAGATCAATAATATTTGTAAGAGGAGCTGTGTGAAGCCGGGCTGGGAATATGGCTCAGGGCATAAAAATACTTGCCATGCAAGTATGAGAACAATTCCAGTCCCCAGGACCCTAGAAAGCCAACAAAGCCAGCAATCCCAGGACTCAGGGGACAGAGACGGGGTTCTCTGGCTAGCTAGACCAGCCACACTGGCAAGCTCTGGGTTTAAGTGAGAGGTCACTGCTTCAAAACTGGAAAGAAATTATAAGAAAGCTGATGTCAACTTTGGCCTTCCATACATGGCCATGTGCACATCCACATGCACAGATACATGTGCACAAAAGAAAAAGGCAAGCACTTTGTGATCTGGAGCAGACTCAGAATCACACCTTGCGAATGACCAACTACTGACATTCAAGAAGGTCATAATCTTCCTAGGAAAATGACCCTTTTCCTCTGTAAAGTCTGAATCAGGCAAGGTCTGTAGTCAGTCTATGTAGCAATGGTTTGAAAAGTGATCTGGTTTTGTTTTAGACGAGGAAGCAACAGTAATGATATGATGCACTAAGTCTGGGTCTAAACAGAAAGACTTAGCATATAAAAAACAAATTAGTTAGAAGTAATTTCATCTCTCAGACTCTGGGGTAGTTCCAGAGTGTCATGGAGCTGAGGTGAAGTGATGCCTCCTCCCAGATGTGGGTTCCTTTGTGGAGACTGGCTGGAAGCTGGTCATTCTAACCACAGGCTGAGGAGCTTCTCTCAGGCAGCTGCAGCCCCATCTGTGCTAATGAGTGACAGAAGCCAGGCTCTGTTGTTGCTGGCATGCAGCAGCAGAACAGCTTCCAGTAATCATTCTTCTGCTCAATAGAGTTTCAGTTATGGAAAGAAACTTAGCAGCAGAGGATATGTATTTTTTTCCCCCGAGACAGAGTTTCTCTGTATAGCCGTGGCTGTCCTGGAACTCACTCTGTAGACCTAGGTGGCCTCTACCATCCGAGTGCTGGGATTAGAGGTGTGCGCCACCACCACCCAGTGAGGATATGTATTTTTTATAAATTCTATGTGCATGACCTTCTCGAAGTCCTGTAGAATAGTCCGAGGAATGGCAGTATTAAGATTTCTTCACTGTATAGTCCTGTGGTTTATTTACTCTATAAGCTGTGTGCACTGTAGTATCACACCAGTGAGGTTCATCTGAGGTGTGACTGCTAAGTGGAAACCTTTACTGTGAGCTTGTGTCCAGTGTTTCCTGGAAACTGTATTCACTAACAAGCCTATTCTCCTCTGCACACACTGAAGGCTGGAACCCTGATGCAAGATATTCGGAGCGTTTTCTGCAGGACGCTAAACTACTCCACTGGAACGGAAGACATAAGCCCTGGGACTTTCCTAGTGTTCACAACGACTTATGGGAAAGCTGGTTTGTTCCTGACCCTGCGGGGATCTTTAAACTCCATCACAACAGATGACACACCTCGACACTTCAAGTATTCCCTGGACAAAAATGGAATCACCCTTTGTACCCTCCCCTAGCCCTGTTCTTTAGGAACGGCACCTCGGACACATAGATCTACAATGGAAGAAGCAAAAACTGTGTTACATGTTCAACCGTGGACCAAAGGCAGACCTAATTCTTGAAGTTCAAGTGGTAATGATGACTGGCCCTTCACCCCCTTCCCCTCTCTTCTTGGTGTTTTGAGACAGGGTCTCACTATGTACCCCAGGCTGGTCTGGACTTGAATGACAGTTACATCAGAAAACTTTAAAAGTCTCTAATTTTTCACAGTTAGGTATTTTTGTAGCTGTTCTTGTTGGTTCTGATTTTGCATAAGATAGGATCTCTCTATATAGCCCTGGCTGGCTTAGAACTCACTTATTGACCAGGCTGGCCTCAAACTCACAAGATCTACATACCTCTGCCTCCTAAGTACTGGAATTAAATGCATGTGCCACCATGCCTGGCTGCAGGTTTTTTTTGTTTTTTAACAGGCTGCCAGTTTTGGCCTTTATAAAAATTAAAACTAAAAAAATATAAATATCGCTTGGTGGTGTTGCATGCCTTTGATCCCAGCTTGGGAGGCGGAGGCAGAGGCAGGTGGATCTCTGTTGAGTTAGAGGCCAGGCCGGTCTACAGAATGAGTTCCAAGACAGCCAGGGCTACACAGAGAAACTCTGTCTCAAAAAACAAACAAAACACACACACACACACACACACACACACACACACACACACACACACACACACACACAAGATATCTGTACAAATAAAATATTCAAGTTTTCCTCATGTATTACTCTACAAGTTAAATATAATAGAAAGTAAACTGTCTTCAGGTTTAAAGCGAAGAATACCATTAAGTCTTTCTACAGAAAAGCCTGTTCCTTAAGCATAGCCATTCTTAATGTTTATTGTAAAAACCACACAGAATTTCATATGAATTTAAAATCCCAGTATTATAATGGAGAAAACGCCATCCTGTCATGTGCAGGATACATCAACACGTACGACTCATTTGCCATGGTCAATGAAAAACGCTGAGCTGTTTCGGAAGACCCTCACACCCATTCTCCAGAGTGACATAATTTAAAGGTATTTCTCTACTCAAGGAAATCTATGGGAAAGCTACAACAGTTATATACCAAAGCAATACCTAGTTACATGCTTTACATAGTCCCATGAAAAAAAATAATTCAACTGGTCCTAATCCCTGATGCAAGGCACTTCAAAGCACCCGCACAAAATGTCCATGTAAACAGCAGTGCAGTACACCTTTTAAATAACATGACTCGTATACGGCTCGACTAGACGTAAGGAAAATAAAATCCATCATTGCCACAGCTAAAAGGCATGTTAAGATTCACAAGAAACTGCTTCTCTGCAGACTACTTAACCTCTGTGGAATATAAACACCGCACAGACATTTCATACTGCAAAACCAGCATGCTCCTTGGGTATGCATCAAGTCAGAATATTCATGAGTGATCAGGATTGAATGTAATAGGTATTTCTGAATACCCAGTTTTAATATCCACCAGACCTAACGGGCTAGACTATTTGTAGCACCATGGAAAATGCGTTAGAAACCATAAAGGTACAAATTCTAGCCAACCTTTTCATGAGGTTCACTTAGTCCACAGTAACAAACAGTAGTGACAGTCATTTTTAAATTATTGACTCATTAGTTTTAACTAGCAAGAAAAATTCTGCATTATCTTAGTACATCCCATGTACACACAGCACCAGTTTAAACAGAATTATCAAACACCTCCAGCATTCTGTTGCTCTCCCTGAAAGTTCATTTCCTACCACTTTCCAGTCAAGGATAAAATTAGAACAGTGATAAACACTGATGGGGAAATTCAGTAAATACACAATTGGCAAACGTAAAAGGTCTACTGCGTTCTCAGGAACCTACCAGCTCAGAACAGTTTCTGTCTCTGAGAGGACCGGCACACAGGAGTGGGAGGCCGAAGGCAGGGCTTAGGCCCATCAGGTCAGGCCACACTCTGATTCTATTACTAAGCAACTGCCATATACACCATCTGGAGAGTGTGACTAGGAAGTTCTGAGTTTACCCCCAGCTTCCAAAACTAACCAGACTCCACTGAGGGTTGGTTAGCTTCTTCCATGGAAATCGGCACATCTGCCTTTTACTAGTTTGATTCTTATTAGCATGCCCTTCTGAGGCATTAAAAGGGATAAGGGCATATATAGGTATGTACAGTCAAGAATCAACTATAAATATTTAGACTGTTGCATTTTAAAATTACATCAAAGTAACTCCCCAAAGAAAACCAGTTTCTTCATAAATGAAATATAGTATATAAAAAGCTGGGATGATGGGTAATTCAAATACAAAACTCAGGTAGAAAACACCCTATTTTTTTCCTTCCAGACTACATAGGTTCATACAGTTGACCCTACCATGTAACTGCTCCACATATAATTACACCACTAGCGTAAAGTACTATGAATACTAACTCTTCAGTTAGGAAACTGAGGTTCGAGGTCCTGCCAACTGCATTAAAACTGCAGCATTGAGGCAGAGCTGAGCAGCACCGTCGTTAAGCATGGCTTCCTTCTTCCTGTTCGTGGGTCCCACAACTGTTAAAAGAGGGGATCTGGTCTGTAAATGACTGTGCCATCCACTGCCCATTTGGAACGTCACCAGGGGCCGCTTCTCCTCTTAGCTCTGCACCGTCGGCTGCTGGGAAGGGAAAGAATCTTAGTTCATTGTCAAGTTTCAACTGATCCTATCGGGAGATCTTTAAAGTGCATTAAAGAGTTATTAAGATACTGAGCGAGTTTTTAAAAACAGTGTTAAGTTTCTACTAGTTTTTCAGTTCGAGGACTGAGAAATCATCATTTGTTATTCAGGGAGGGAGATGCTAGGGGGTTGTTTAGAAGGCATGAATTAAGAAAATGATGTGAAAATCTTTAGTCACTTAACTACATTTTTAGATTAGTATCCCTAAATCTCCAACAATTACTTTCTTTTTCTATTACATCCCCATCGCCTCCCAATCCTCTGAAAGGAACAAATCCGGATGGGAACATACTTAGCCCATTTGAAGGAAAGCTGCGAGGTTCACTATTACATGGGTTTTCACCGTAAGCACTGCCATACGCTGCCTCGTAGCCGGGATCATACTTTTCTTCCTTAACAGCCATCTTCTTCGCGTCCTCTGTGGGAAAGGTAAAGACGGCTGAAACTGGTGTTGTAGAAGTTTTCTATAAATTCAGCTGAGTTACATAATGTGCTGTAGTTTTTTTTAAAAGACTTGTTATTTTATTTATTTGTGTGTGTGTGTGTGTGTGTGTGTGTTGCATTAGTGTATATGCATGCAGGTGACCGAGGAGGCTGAATTACAGGTGGCCGTGAACCGCCTGAGGCGGGTTCTGAGAACCGAACCTGGTCCCTACAAGATCAACAGATGTTTTTACCCCCCGAGCAACCTCCCCAGCCCCATTTGCTGTCGTTCTAACAATTCTTTGGAGCATATACTAAATTAGGTTGTAAGAATTGGAAAAATCCACCACACTCAGTTTTAGGCAGGGAGGCGGTCCTTAGATCCAGAACAGGGGGAAACCGTGGTACAAGGAGACCCGAACAGACACTAAAATCCGTTACCAGAGCATCTGGCTCCAATAAAATTTCCCTTCTTCCTGCTTGAAATCCACACCCTCCTTTCTGTTGCGGACACACAGATCACTGATGAGGGAAGGGAACGGTAGCAAACCTTGTGCGAGCTGCAGGTCGAACGTGTACTGCACCTCCTGCACGTCTGTGTTCCGCTCAATGCCCTTCAGCTGATCCCGTAAATCCTTCAGCTTAATGTAGTAGTGAACTTTGTCCTGGGCTCGAGGAAACTGAGCACATCTGGCACTGGAAGATGGCATGACGTAGCAGAGCTGGGATCAACAAGTTTTAAAGGTTCAGAGATCTTAACATTTGATTGAAACTACTCACACTGTGGTCAGAAAAACTTACCTTTATTTGGCATAATAACTTGATACTTAAATTAAGAGATGGCTCCCCACAGTGTTCCTCTATCAATCAAGTCTTTTCTTTCCTTAGTAAATACACACTTCATGATTCAAGAGGAACAAAGGGGTGCAGCATTTATGCTGACATTTACCCTCCCAGCTCTCTGTCCACTCAGCTTCCTTTGCCGAGACAATCACTCTCATGAGTCCCCGAGGTGTCTGTGGACAATCCAAGGCATCTAGGGTATCAACTACCCCACATCCCTTTTCATAACATACAAGCACAATGTGCTCTACTTCCCCATACCCTGCTCTTCTCTTCACTCAACGGTGTATCGCAGAGATGTTCTGACCATATAGCAAGGAAAAAAAAAAAAAGCCTTTTAAACAAAGTTATCCAGGCCTTTTATAACTTATTAACTCAAGCCAATTGTAGATTTAGGTTGTTATGAGTTCTTTTATCGACTATAGGAAGAAGCTTTATACATCATTAATTTGGAGATTTTCCCAGAAGTTGGATAAAATACCAGAAGTAGCCGGGCAGTGGTGGTGCACGCCTTTAATCCCAGCACTTGGGAAGCAGAGCCAGGAGGATCTCTGTGAGTTCGAGGCCAGCCGGGGCTACAGAGCAAGATCCAGGACAGGCACCAAAACTACACAGAGAAATTCTGTCTCGAAAAACAAAAAACAAAAAAACAAACAATTACCAGAAGTAGATAGCTACAGGGAAAGACACATTTATCATTTTGGTCGGTGACAAACTGTCCTTCAAAGGGCAGAAGTTGCTTCTGTCCTCTCTACACACAAGTGAGGCAATGGACTACTCTACCTATGGTGATTTTTAAAGTTGGTTTCCTTATCATATATTATAATTATTTTGCTTTGACTATAGCATGTTTAGAGAAATTCCTAATTGATACAGACATGCAGGTGAGTATGTTAGCATGTTTTATAACAGCACATTTTCAAGATATTCTTCAATTAAAATGACCCAGAGTAGACAGTCTACTGGCACCAGCACACCTTTAATCCTAGCACTCAGGAGGCAGAGGCAAGTGGATCTCTGTAAGTTTGAGAACAGTTAGTCTACATAGTGAGACCCTCCACCCACCGACCTACAAACACACAAAGTAAAAGAAAAGAAAGTAAACTGTTTTCTCTTTGAGCTAAATCACTAGCAACATCAGTAGCTTCTTAGTTTATGGTAAAGAGTATAGTGTCTAAGATAAATGCAGGGCCAAGAGGACTGCCACCGTTGCCACGGTTACTTCTTGGCTATCAACTGACCCAGATCTAC